CCAGATAAGAAGATGGCCATTTGTTTGTATGGTAAATCAAAGTAAGTTAGTTCAGAATGTCTTCCTTGGTAGGTTAGGTTCCTGTACCTGCACAAGGATCATTTTTCCTATGGGTTGCTACACCTGTGCTTTGCCCACCCACAGATATTGTCTTCTCTCCGGTGTTCTAAGTGATCACAGTTTAACACATAATTTTCAGTGTCTGAGGCTTGTCTTTACCTTTGCCAATGGGTGCTCTTCTCCTACCTTGACCCTGGCTTTTCTGCCAATCCCTCAGTTCTTGCCTGAGAATGGTTGTGTCTGAAAGTCTGTCAGATTCAGTTCAGTTCTCATATGAGTGTCCTTGTTGAGCTCTTATTTTGCCAAGTTGGTGGAAAAGAGGTATCCTTTGAATTTTGGAGATATGGATGTGACAAAATCTGTCCTTTGCTAAGCAGAAGTTTTGCAACAGGGTCCATGTAATAGATGCTCCAGATATTGCCATTTTCACACAGAGACATCAAAATATTTATTATAAATATGCTAAAATATTTGTAGGGCGAATAAATGGAATGAGTTAACAGATAGAAAATTTCAGTCAGGGCAAGGGACAGCAAGATGGGTCTGCCAATAAGAGTACTTGTCTAAACCTGAGTTTGATCCCCAGGACCCAAATGGTAAAAGGAGAGAACCAACTGCTACAAGTTGTACAGATAACATGTTCATGTACATACACAATAAAAAATTAATGCAATAATAATTTTAGAGAAAATTGCAGGATCAAGTATAAATACTAAAACTGATAAATGAAATATATTAAAGCTTATTTAGATCACTTTAATTGCATACTGGACATAAACTAAGAAAGGACATAATAAATAGAAAATATAAAAGTTGAATAATCAAAAATATGATGAAAGACGCTAGCAAAATTTAAGAAAATGAAATATAAAAGAAATATTAAACTCAAACAAAAATTCAAATGCAGATTGAGAGTCCCAGAAAGAAAAACACTATCCTCAAAGAAAACCCCAGATCCCCTTTGGATTCTCTAGCTAACTCTGCTAAACACTGAAGGGAGGAATATGGGGCCTGAAGAGATGGCTCACTGCTTAAAACCACAGGCTGCCCTTTCAGAGAACCCAGTGCAGTTCTCAAAACCCACATGACAAGCTCATGAACATCTTGTAACTCCAATTCTAGGGGATATAACTCCCTCTTTGGCCTCTATGGGTACTGCCTGTGTATGATGCACAATACAGGCAATACATACTGACAAAACATCAATACAATACAATACAATAAAAATAAATAAAATCTCAAAAATTAGGAAGAAACATCACCAATATTTTGTATACTTTTAATAAATCTAGACGGGTAATACTTAATAATATATTTTGTGAAATCAAAAATTTGATAAAATGCCTGGTAAACATATGGTACACATATTTCCATATATGGTACACATACATACATGCAGGCAAAAGATTCATGCACATAAAGCAAAATAAATAAATCTAAAATAAATCAAAAATAAAATTTTAATTAGAAAAGAAACAAAATAAGCCCTATAATCCTATTTAGTGCTGCATTTGAATTCCTAACTATATAATATATATATATATGTATATATTATATAACTGCATATATAACTCTATATGTATATATAATATATAACTATATGTATCATTGTACAATAATACAAGAAGTAGAAATACAAGGTACAAAGTTTAGAAAGCAGGATATAAAACTTTTTTTCTACAGGTCATCCCTTATGTAGGAAAACCTAAGAAATCTCTAAGAAACACTTACTGGAAGAAAAAGTGATTTTAGCAAGGTCAAATGCAAAAATCTGTTGTATTTTATATATACTAGCAACTGCAAATTCAAATTCCTAAATGCTCTTATGGTAGCATCAAAAACAACTTAGGAATTACTTTAATAAAAGTGCCGAGGGCTCCTAAGTCCAAGATAGAAGGGGCATATGTCGTCAAGGCCTTCTTGTTCTAACATCACATGGCAGAAGACATTATATGATGAAGAAAATGAATGAAAGAAATGGAAAAAAGGGGGCCAAAATTTCCCTATTCTAAGTAACCAAGTTGTGTTGGTTACTTTTCTCATTGCTCTAACAAAATATCTGACAAATCAACTTTTAAAAGGAAGGAATTTATTTTGGCTAATGATTTGAGGTGATGTAGCACATCATGAAGGGAAGGCCTGGCAACAGGAACAACTGGTAGCATGAGTAAGCAAGCAGAGAGACATGAATTCTGATATATATTGTGTGTATTATAATATATAGATGAATTCTCTATATATAATTAATATATGTTAATATTTATTGACAAATAAGAAATGAATGAATTTACAACTTACAACTGCCTAAAAGTAGATTTGGAAGTACTTATTTTATGTTGCAGGGTATATTTGAATAAAAACTAAGTATTAGACTATAGATTACAAGTTTTTCTTTGAAGAGACAGCAAATATTTTACACTTTACAAATCATATATTGACTTCATTTGTATTCCTTTTTTATGTTTTCAACATTATAAATAGAAAATCCATCCCTCATTTATGGGGCCCATCATAGATAATACCTCTTTGCAGGAGGTGAAAAACAAGAAACAGTGAAGAAAATAAATACAAGACATATGTATATCGGTAGAGGTCTTTCATCATTTTCCTCTTTGCTCTCATCCACAAAACCTCAATAAATTTAACTGTAGTCACCAAATTCATAGCCTTTTATTTCGGGATGCTCCCAATCAGTAAGTTCTTTTGATTCTCTAGCTTTGGGCTTTGTTTTGTATTTTATTTAGATTAGAAAGAATATTATTTTATATATCAATCCCAGTTTCCTATCCCTCCCATCCTCCCATGGCCCCCACTGACTCCCAATCCTATCCCCTTTCTGTTCCCCAGGGATGGCGGGGCCTTCCATGGGGGATCATCAAACTCTGTCACATCAATTGGGGCAGGGTCTAGGCCCTCCCCCGTGTGTCTAGGCTGAGAGAGTATCCCTCTACGGGGAATGGGCTCCCAAAGTCCATTTGTACACTAGGGATAAATACTGTTCCACTACCAGAGGCCCCATAAACATCACAGGCCTCCTAACTGACACCTACGTTCAGGGGGCCTGGTTCAGTCCTATGCTGCTTTCTCAGCTGTCAGTCTGGGGTCCATGAGCTCCCCCTTGTTCAGGTCAGCTATTTCTGTGGGTTTCCACAGACTGGTCTTCACCCCTTTGCTCATCACTCCTCCCTCTCTGCAATTGGATTCCAGTTCTGCTCAGTGTTTAGCTGTGGGTCTCTGCTTCTGCTTCCATCAGTTACTGGATGAAGATTCTAGGATGACATATAAGGTAGTCATCAATCTAATTATAGGGAAAGGGCATTTAAGATAGCCTCTCCACTATTGCTTAGAATCTTAGTTGGGGTCATCCTTGTAGATATCTGGACATTTACCTAGTGCCCAATTTCTCTTCAAACCTGTAATGCTTCCCTCTATTAAGGTATCTCTTTTCTTGCTCCCCTCTATTCTCCTCTCAACTCAATCTTCCTGCTCCTTCACATCCTCCTCCCTCCTCCTTTTCTCCCCTTCTCTTTCTCCTAACTCCCTCTCCCCTCCCCTGTGCTCCCAATTAGCACAGGAGATCTTGTCCCTTTCCCCTTCTCTGGGGGACCATGTATGTCTCTCTTAGGGCCCTCCTTGTTTCCTAGCTTCTCTGGAGGTATGGATTGCAGGCTGGTAATCCTTTGCTCTATGTCTATAGTCCATATATGAGTGAGTACATACCATGTTTGTCTTTTTGTTACTGGGTTACCTCACTCAGGAGGGTTTCTTCTAGTTCCATCCCTTTGCCTGTGAATTTCAAGATTTAATTGTTTTTTTTCCATTTAGTAGTACTCCATTGTGTAAATGTACCACATTTTCTTTATCCATTCTTCTGTTGAGGGGCATCTAGGTTGCTTCCAGGTTCTGGGTATTACAAATAATGCTGCTAAGAACATAGTTGTAAAGATGTCCTTGTTGTATGAATGTGCATCCTTTGGGTATATGCCCAAGAATGGAATTGCTGGATCTTGAGGTAGACTGATTCCCAGGAGGAACCTCCATACTGATTTCCAAAGTGGTTGTACAAGTTTGCACTCCCACCAGCAACGGAGGAGTGTTCCCCTTTCTCCATATCTCCAGCATAAACTGTCGTTGGTGTTTTTTATTTTAGCCATTCTGACAAGAGTAAGATGGTATCTCAGAATTGTTTTGATTTGCATTTCCCTGATGGCTATGGATGTTGAGCAATTTCTTAAGTGTCTTTCATCCATTTTATATTCCTTTATTGAGAATTCTCTATTTAGTTCTGTACCCACTTTTTAATTGGATTATTTGGTGTTTTGGTGGCTAGCTTCTTGAGTTCTTTGTATGTTTTGGAAATCAGCCCTCTGTCAGATGTGGGGTTAGTGAAGATCTATTTCAATTCTGTAGGCTGCCGTTTTGTCTTGTTGACTGTGTCCTTTGCCTTACAGAAGCTTCTCCATTTATTAATTGTCCGTCTCAATGTCTGTGCTACTGGTGTTATGTTCAGGAAGCAGTCTCCTGTACCAATGCATTCAAGGGTACCTCCCTAGCTATGGGCTTTGTATGTTATCAATTTCATCCCACATCAACATAAAATTCACTCCCTATTATCAAACCCACATATAAATGTTCACATACATATATACACAAGTCCACTCAAAATGAACCTTTTGTTTTTAGTAACTTTACTACCTATTTGTCAAATCATTAAATAGCTTCATATCAAGAGCTACATAGACTTTTCTTGGTTACATGGCTTTTCCCCTCTCTTCACATATAATAAATTATTGTAAGATAACTGTGCTTTTCAGATTATCTAGTTCGTCTAATTGAGATCATTAAACTTGTTATTTCATAATACTTATAACTATAGTTATAGTTGTAGCATTATTCCCATGGTCTCATAAAATTATGTTATATGTTATTCTCTCTTTTAGGATGTGGTGCCATAAGTTGTTGCACCTACAAAGCAGTCTCCAGAAGCTGATGAAGAGAGGATACATAGGTCAAGCTCTTCATCTGTCCAACTTTAAAAGTTTATTTTCATTATCCATCCATTGGTGCCATACAGCTTCCAAGTGTGTGAATTGTACTTGGCACCAACATGAAGATCATTTGGGTAAGAGACATATAAGGAAATAATATTTTTTAATTGTGGTAAAAATAGATAGCATAAAATATACCATATTTACCATTTAAATATACAACTCAATGGTATTAAATATGTTCATTTTGCTGTACAACAAAAAATACTCCTTGTGTAGTCTGAACATGCTCTCAGTGGAGTTGGAATGATACTTATCTCCAAGATTATTGTAGAAATCACAATAAAGACATACCAGGCAGCACTAAAGTCCCAGCTTAGTTAGGGATAACTCTGCAGTGCTCCAGCCAAACTCCATACCCTGTATTATGCAAGAAAAAAAGAAAGCCTCAGTATCCATGGGAAAGTGTTTGAAGCACATAGACTAGTAATAATATAATCACAGAAAGTATTACTCCTTGTATTGATTCCTAAGGCTCCTGAAAGGATTTCAAACTGAATAGTGTGAGACACAGTCCAAGAATAGAATTGTGTGTGGAGAATTCTGAGTGCTTGTGAGAAAACTCAAGAAAAAAAGTTATGGTCTCAATTTCTTCAGAAGCACAGAATTGTTCTTGGAATGTGCTTTTGTGCCCTTACCAGCTGTAGTGAATAGGCATGAGTTTATTTCAGCTGTTTTTATTCATATACATCTGTGGAAAAACATGTTTCTAGCATATTTGGCTTGTCCTTGTAATTGTATACTTTACTCAGTTGACTCCTCTTAACCCTCAGAGTATAAATCATCTGATGTTCTGAATAAAGTTGGCTATTACATGAGACTTTAGAACACCTCATTTTTAGGCTCACTCTTTCAGGTTGACATGGCCAACTAAAGCAATAAACGGATCAAATAAAACATAGAAATATATTTTCTCATAATTCTGAGGGTCTTTGGAAAAATCACACTATTGGCAAGGCTGCACTCCCTTCAAAGGTCTAGGAGAGTTAGGTCATTTTCCTAATCTATTCTATTATCTTTTAGTTGCCAGCAATTCTTGGCTTTTTTGTTTGTTTGCTTGCTTCTTATAGAAGCATCCCTTCAACCCTTGCTTCCATCTTCACATAGCCCCTACATTATTTTCAAGTCAGCCTTTCCTTATAAAGATGGCAGTCATTACAACTTTTTAAAACTTGATTATATCTGCAATGACTATAGATGCTCCAACAGTATATTTATTCTCTTCTCAAGTTTCTTTCATCAACCTTTTATAGTTTTGTAACAGAGATGCTACTTTGTTGGTAAATTTATTCCTAAATATTTTATTTTATTTTGGGAGCAAATATGAATGGAATATTTTTCTTGACTTTTTGTAGCTAATCAATATCAAACTAATTTTCTTGATGTTGTTAATTTGTTTCTTTTCCCTTTTATCTTCATTAACATGGCTAAAGATTTCAGTCTTATTTCTTTTGAGGAAATCATTTTTGGTTCATTGATTTTCTTGTCCCCCATTTTCAGTGTGTGTAGCTGGATTTTCTTGTCCCACTCAAAGAGTCTGAGGCAGCACAGGGTCCTTCATGGGTCTGTGCCAGGTACTTTGCATATATATTATGGCTTCCTTTTAGAAGATGAGGCAGAAAGAATATGAGAGCCATTGTAGGGGAAAGGCATTTAGGGTAGCCTCTCCTCTATTGCTTAGATTGCCAGTTGGTGTCATCCTTGTAGATCTCTGGAAATTTCCCTAGTGCCAGATCTCTCCTGGAACCTATAGTGGTTCCATCTATTATAGAATCTCTCATCTTGCTCTCCTCTTTTCTTCCCCCAACTCAACCTTCCTACTCCCCCATTTCATCCTCTTCCCTCCTCATCTATCCCTCTCCCCTACCCCCATGCTTCCAATTAGCTCAGAAGATCCTGTCCCCTTCCCTTCTCCAGGGGACCATGCATTCTTCTCTTGGGGTCCTCGTTGTTGCCTAGTTCCTTTGGTGATGTGGATTGTAAGCTGGTAATTCTTTGCTCTATGTCTAAAATTCATATATGAGTGAGTACATACCATGTTTGTCTTTTTGTTACTGGGTTACCTCACTCAGGATGGTTTCTTCTAGTTCCATTCTTTTGCCTGCGAATTTCAAGATTCCATTGCTTTTTTTCTGCTGAGTAGTACTCCATTGTGTAAATGTACCACATTTTCTCCATCCATTCTTCAGTTGAGGGGCATCTAGGTTGCTTCCAGGTTCTGGCTATTACAAGTAATGCTGCTAAGAACATAGTTGAATATATATCCTTGTTGTATGAATGTGAATTCTTTGGATATATGCCCAAGAGTGGAATTGCTGGATATTGAGGTAGACTGATTCCCATTTTCTTGGGAAATGGCCATACTGATTTCCAAAGTGGTTGTACAAGTTTGCATTCCAGCAATGGGGGAGTGTTCCTTTTTCTCTACATCCTTTCCTGCATAGACTGTCATTGGTGTTTTTAGCCATTCTGGCCGATGTAAGATGCTATCTCAGAGTTGTTTTGAGTTGCATTTGCTTGATGGCTAAGGATTTTGAGCACTTTCTTAAGTGTCTTTCAGCCATTTTATATTCCTCTGTTGAGAATTCTCTATTTAGTTCTGCACTCCACTTTTTAATTTCATTGTTTGGTGTTTTGGTGGCTAGGTTCTTTAGTTGCTTATAAATTTTGGAAATCAGCCCTATGTCAGATGTGGGGTTGATGAAGATCTATTCCCATTCTGTGGGCTGTCATTGTGTCTTGCTGTGTCCTTTGCCTTACAGAAGCTTCTCAGTTTCAGGAGCTCGCATTTATTAATTGCAGATCTCAATGTCTGTGCTACTGGTGTTACGTTCATGAAGCGGTCTTCTGTACCAGTTCATTCAAGGATACCTCCCACTTTCTTTTCTGAGAGGTTCAGTGTAATTGTATTTATATTGAGGTCTTTGATCCATTTGGACTTAAGTTTTGTGCATGGCGATAGATATGGATTTATCTGCAATCTTCTACATGTCAGAATCCAGTTAGGCCAGCACCATTTGTTGAACATGCTTTCTTTATTCCAGTGTATAAAGTTAGCTTCTTTGTCAAAAATTAGGTGTTCATAGGTGTTACGATAAATCTTTCCGACAAAAGCTGCCTGAGCCCCACCGCCATGTGTGAGCTTTATGCCAGCCGCCTGCCTGAGGTGGGGCCCAAATGAATACACAGAAACTTGAATTAGGTACAATGCTGCTTGGCCAATGACTAGGATTCTTTTTTTTTTTTTTTTTGGTTTTTCGAGATAGGGTTTCTCTGTGGCTTTGGAGGCTGTCCTGGAACTA